TACCTTCTTCTTATCAACAACTGACTCTACCTTCTTATTAACAATCTCAAACGATTAATATCACTTTTTTCCATCAACAACTGATTCTATCTAATTTCACTTCTCTACACCAACCATCTTATTTAACTTAAAATAATAATTATGATTCATCAGATTCAGTTGCTTCAAGTATTATAAGTATCTAAAAAACCTTTGCAACTATGAGTAGCAAATCCTGATAAACACAAGCATGACATCAAACTTACCATTCTTCAATGCAACCCTTTCAACCATCCCACTTATAACATGGATCATGTTCTCTACAATATAAACCACATTCTTCATCTGGTAATAGAAATCGTTTATTATTCCTACTATCACCATGCTTATGTCCACAATTATGAGGAAGATCGACAGAAAAACAATCTTCCTCTAATCAGTATAATCAAGGTAATTAATGTTAATTAATAATTAAATTTATATAAAAGCCTTTTTTTTTTATATAACTAAAAATAGAGTTTTTTTTACCTTTTTTTTTACTTTTTTTTTTTTTTTTTTTTTTGGGAGGCTTGTTGCCCTTAAAGATCACGCCTACTACCACTACTAGTAAGTAGATGAGCGACTTTTTGCTCAATACCAGCAGCTATATGTTTTAGTAAAAAAGCTTAGCGAAGATGTAAAGGAGGTTAAGGCTAAATTAAAACATTAGCGAAGTGATATAAAAAATGTACCTTTCCTGAAGGTTCTGAAAGTTAGTATTTTATGCAGTTTTGATAATAGCAAATATTTGGAATGATTTTTTTTGTATTTTAAATAAAACTTACTTTAAAGTCTTTCATTTTTTTTAGGAAATTTTTATTGGCATTGCTAAACGTCTCTTTTTGTATCATGTGTATTTTACCTAAATCTAATCAAGAAAACATTGAAGGGCTATCTAGAGAAAAGGTTCCCAAATTTTATATCTAATCTAAGCAGCAACAAATTCACAAACCATTTTTATGATCAATGATTGAGTCTGGTAATATTCTTTTTTTTATTATATCTATTGCTTATAATCGTTAATAATCATTTTTTAACTTTCTCAATTTATATTATTTTGTATAAGGTAATAATTTTTTATTATATATTGTTTACTATAGTTTTTGGTTTCAATTTTCCAAATACTTACAATTTACATTATATAGCTTCTAAAAAAAATCAAAAACACTTATGGTGCTGCTCTTCAGAGTGTTAGATTAGCAATTTGGAGTATTTTTGGGGTTGAGAGGTTGCTCTGATTAAGAAGTAATGCAGCTGCAGCTGATATTGTAAGGTGGAAGGAAAGTCCAGAAGTAAGCACTTGCTATTATACACTTTTTGAAAAAAATGATGAGGGCATCTTTTGGGTGTCTCTTATTGCAAGAACAGCTTTTACTATAACAGCAGTCTCTTACATGACTAGTAAACATTGTGTGTTCATGCTTGCAATTTGTGACATTCTTTTCAACTCTTGCTCATAAAGCATTTTGTATAAGGAATCATGTATGAGACATAGAATTGAACAATATTTAATAAGTAATTGTATATTTTGTTTTTAAAGGTAATAGTATTAACATTTGATATATTTGCATAAAGAGATTTTGAAAGAAGTGGCCCATCGCATAAGTCTGTACAAAATATATTAAATGGCAAAGCTAGAAGTAATGAATGATTAAGAGAGGCCTTGCCTCAAGATTCCGATCCTAAAACTTATTTTCAAAAAAGTCTGTTAATATTACAAGAAGAGATGGATGAATTGTTTGGAATTGAGTATTAGCAATAGTTTTTTTTGTAATTTTTTTCTTTATATTATGTTTTTTCTTTAAATTATATTATTTTTTGTTTTTTTTCTTTATATTGTTCTTTGTCTTTGTATCACATTTTTTTAATGTTAATATATTAGTTTTAATATCAAATATATGCATGTAATAAAGATTATATTTTAATAAAACCAGTTATTGCTTTAAGCATTTTTAAAAATAGCATCATTGTTGCTTTATTGCTATAAATTAGTAGTATAAAATTTATTTGATAAATATCAATATATATCAGATTTTTTATAAAATTAATTAATAGTGATTTTCTGTTATAATAACTATATATCAATCTTTATCTCAATCGATATAACCCAACAGGAGGATTATTATCAATATATATCTGCATAGATAATAATCGATATATATTGGCTTATAATTTTTGCTAATGAATAAAATAATTATTCATTTTTTAGATATGATAAAAGAGCATGCTAAGGCAACTTATAATATTCAAGCTAATGCTAACATTTTATTGAAATCTAAAAAGATGTTCTTTTCAAAAGTAATAGAAATTATGATTAAGGTTTTATACAAACATGAAGTAATATAAAAATTACTTATAGTTCAGAAATTTGAAGAATTTTATGCTTATATGAAGGCAGAGAGTATATATCTGAAGGCTTTTTTTGATAAACTTGTATTATTAACTAATTTATTAAAAAAAAAGCCAAAGTTACATTTCAAGATAAAGTCTTAATAGAGAATAGCAATTCTAATGTAGTGATTAGATTGTCATCCTTCAAGTGGCAGGTCTAAGATTCAAATTCTACTTACAATAAAATTTGGAAATTAACTTGTATTATAGCAAACTGTCTCTTGATGATCAGTTGGATTTGTGTATCTGTAACCTTAAATCTTATCATCTCGAATAGGAGCTCAGAGCATTTATGCTAAGTGTAATGTTACATATATATAGAGGAATATTAATAATCAGTATTGTATAAAACTTCAGTACAAACCTACAATAAGACTACTAGGTGCAGTAAACTAAGAAACTAAAGAGTCAGAAGCCTACTTAAAAATTATTGAATAAAGAGATAGCATAAACTTTTGACAGTATAGTCAAACTGATAGAATCTTATAAAACACCTTCAAAGAGATAGGTAGATAAACTGAATATCAAGATGTATAAAGGAGCATGTGACCAACCAGACTGTCAGAATTACTAAAAAAAAAGATATATAAGTATATCATATCAAGCTATCTGAATTGAAAGTCAGGAGAGTCCTATCAGTCCTGAGTAGTAGTTAGTAAAAGATGATGAAGATGATGTCATAATAATAGATACTAGGGTTCTAGTAAACTTTACAAAGGTAGAAATAGTATAACATAGTAGTTAAACAGGTAACTCCTATGATTGCAAGTGTTAAGTAACTATAGTATATTGCATAAAACTAGATTAGCTATATATGGAATATAGAAGGTTCTAGTAAGTTTTCTGTCAAAGATAAACTAGTTCTAAGGATCTTAAAAATATCAGATACTTTGAATAAGTATAGCCCAAAAGATGTTCCTATAATCATAAGTTAAATTATATATGCAAAGGATTTAAATAGGCAAGACCTATAGTTGGCTTGCAGGTATGGCATCTAGTATAGAATCTGTACAGTAATATATAAGTAAACTACTTAAATTAGACACTAAAAGTGCATGTATAACTAGTTGTAATCTCCTATGTATAAAAGCCCCTAGAGCATTCATGTTCAATACTTAAATAAAAAAATTGATTCTCAAAGGCAGAAACTTTAATATTAAAATAATAATAATAATAATAATAATGTTTTAATTCCTTTTTGTTTGAAACTTGCTTTGTGATTTAGACAATAAATTTATTATAAATTTAAGTATAATTTAGCACTTTATTTTGATTTTATAGGTACAACAGATTTAGTTATCAATTCATTAGCAGAACTTGGCATTACATTGACAACACAAACTGTTTGGTGTAGAAAAAATGAAAATTTAAAAGACTATCTAGCTTTAATTGACAATAATTTAAATACCTTTTGTAAAAATATAATAATTTTAAATATAGACAATTACTATAATATATATATCAATAAAGTTCCAAAAAATGATAAAACATTAATAACAGCAAATATAGTAACAATTCTTTTAAATTCAATAAGAAATGTATTACCAATTCCTATAAATTGTGATTATAAAAACATTCATAATTCACAATTTATAGATATGAATTTCATAAAAACAGAATTGAAAAATCAGTATATGATATTATTAGAAATATTTTTTAATAAGTTGTAGAAAAATAAGGTAAGTAATAATAAAAAAGAATCTATAAAAGTGTTAACAGTATATAGTTATAATCTTTAACTTAAAAAGAAGATCAATGATCAATTATTAAATAATATTTAGGAATAGATTAGTTTCGGAAAGACCAATTAAGGATTGGTCTTTTTAGCCAGTCTAACAGTTAACCAGTCCCTGGTCCTAAGACCAGTTCAGACTGGTCTAAAAATAGGATAAAATATTACATATTTTCTTTTAAATTTTTTACTTATTTATACATATTTCTGAAAAAGATTCTACATGGCTACAAGATTTTAACTTAAAAAATTTTTTTTTAAATTACCTATTTATGTAAACCTACAGTGCAGACAACCTAGTTCTTAACAAATAAAAAATTTGGTGACCAGTTTAAAATTTAATTTATATATATATGATACAGCAAAATTATTAATTTAATATAGCCAATTTAATATACAGCCAAATTTAGTATATAGCTCAAAAAATCATAGTAAATATAGGCCTGTGCACAGACTATAAAGCTTACAAATATCTGGATCACATTTTCTATATATTTAATAGATTTATCTTCATGCTTTTATTGTTATAAAATTTTTTCAGCTCATGCTATTGAATATAATTTAAGGCCATGTATTCATGTTAGAAATGAGTATTGTATGAGTATATAAAAGCCTAATAATCTTTTAAATACCAAAATAAAAAAATAATAATGTCATATTATATCTAATTACAAAAGCACAAAAATGAAATTATGTTTTATAAATTTTATTTACATGATAAAAACTATGATTCAATCATGATACAATCTAATTTTTTAAAAATATTACTAATTCAATCTAAAAATTAGTAATTGTCCTTTTTGAATTTTGTTTGTCTTTCTTAAATTGTACTAGTTATATATCATTTCTCATAATTATAATGTGCACAATTAATGAGCTTTTTACCTTTACTCAAGAAAATGATACAGACAATGACATTTCAAATTCTGCGGTTGACCAAGAGAATAACAATGAAATATGTAAATGTCAAGAAAGTGAAACATCAATTAGTAAATCTGATGAAAGCATTAATTCATGACCACAAAAAAAAAAAAAAAAAGAACCTTCGTCTGTGTGGAAATATTTTAATAAATCTGAACAGACATATAAAAAATGCAAAACAAAATATGGAATAAATATGGGTGTTTCAACATTAAGGTGATATCTAGAAGATGAACATAATATTATTTTACTGAAACAATCAAAAAAAAGACTTATAAATAAAGATATGATATTCCCTACTTAGTAGAAGAACAGCAAGAGCATGATGATGTAGTAACTAAATGGATCTTGTGTGATTTACAGCTCTTTACTGTTGTTGAATGCAAAGAATGGCAGGATATGATAAAAAAGTTTGATTCATATTACCAGTTTCATAATTATCATACAGAAAAGATCATATTATAACTCTATTTGAAAATAAAAGAGAGCAATTAAAATTAGTACTTTCACAAATTCCTAGAAAAGTATCATTTACTTCTAATATATGGACAGCATCCAATGGTGCTATGTTTCTTAGTTTAACAATCCATTATGTTAATTATTTTTGGAAATTAAATAGTTTCCTTTTAGACATAATCCTAATAGAAGTATGTCATACAGGTAGTGTTACAAATTGGTAAATGTTTTTCAATCGATTAGTTGCACAATTAATTAGCAACTAATCAATTACTATACAGCATAGTCTAAAAGACCTTTTTATAATACCCTTTACAACTTTTGGAGATCTAGAGTAAAGTATGCAGTTACTAAGAATGGATTAATTGCACTTAGAAATGTAAAATATCTGGGTACTAAAGATGAATTAATTGTACTTAGCATATAAAATATTACTGAAGCACTCATATAGTGCAACTTATCCTTCTGACTATAATATCTCTAAATCGTAAAATCTCCAGGTATTTTAAACCATGCTGTATAGTAGTCATTTAGCTAATTGATTTTAAAATATTCAATCAATTAATTGTTAACTAACCAATTAATCAATTTTTAACATTTCAATTTGTAACACTACATATAGGGTCTAATATAGCTAATGCCATAATGAACATTCTTCGTGAATTTGGCCTAGCAAAAAAAACCTTGGCTTTCACTACTGACAACACTTTATTAATGATTGTCTGTAGTAAAATAATAGTGGAAGAACTTGACAATGAATTCAATGATCTTGGGTTTTCACACTATAGATGTGTGACCCATATTTTAAATCTAGTGGTTAATCAGGGGTTTAAATATGTAGACAAATTAATTGCAAAAATAAGAACATTGATGGCATATCTTAAATCATTAAAACCAACAAATAATGTTCTAAAAAGATTTTGTAATATAAAAAGTATTACCTATCTAAAACCTGAAATCGACGTAAAAACCAGGTGGAATTCTACTTACTATATGCTTATGAAGTAGAAAAAATTAAAGTCTGCATTAAATTTGCTTGTAGCCAATGATCAAATGGTTAGAGAAAAATACTTAGACATGGAAGACCTTCATAGCATTAATATAAATATGGCTTTTTACTATTTTTATTTTCTAAAAAAAAGAAAATTATTATATATATATAAAAATATACTATTTTTTTTTTCTTTGTTTAAAAAAAAAAGAAAATACAATTATTTTGCTTGAGCTAATAAAACATGCCACCTATTTTTTATCTGCTTCAAATTATCCAACACATAGTGATGTTCGAATCATCATGCTTAGCATTCGAGAACATTTATCTTAGTACAAAAATAATACCAGTTTTTCAAAATCTCAAGTGGCCGATGCGATGTATCAGAAATTGAAAAACTACTGGTCAATACTTGATGCATTATCTCAAATATCAGCATTTCTTGATTCTCAGGTAAAAATATCAGCATTCAAAACTGAATATGAAAAAAATACAGTAATTAATTTAATTTCAGGATTAAATGAATATTTATCTGAAGTGTCACAGTAAACAATTCTTACTGATAATTTGACTAATAATAGAGATTATTTTCGCAACTTATATATTCTTGAAACATTCTTTTCTTCTATAAATCATATGCTTTTAAACTGTATATATGAAGAAATCAAAAAGTATCTTGCAATACCCTTACTTAGTAATGTGGATCCTCTGTGTTGGTGGCAAACACAACATCTTGAATATCCAACTCTAAGTATTATCACCTGTAATTATTTGCCAATTCAAGCAACAAGCGTCGCCTCAGAACAAGCTTTTTCAATTGCTGGTAAAACAATTACAGATGAAAGGAACAAGCTGGATGAAAAGACGACCAGAGCAATTCTTTATTTGAAGTATTCTCAAAATAAATAAATAAAAAAAATAAGCTCTGTATGCATTTATTATATACTGTATATTGAAATTTGCAAACATGTCAATTTTGGAAATAATTTTTTTTATTAAGGCTTTGCTTATTACAACATTGAAGTTCATAAAACAACTTTAACAATGTTAATTCTATTTCTAAAACTTTAGTATGTACAGTACAAAAAAATAGTAATTACGAAATATATACAATAAAATAAGTTACATAAATGAATCTCATCTTTAATTACGTATTTTTACTCAAATTTTGATAATCATAGAATCAGTTTTGGGACCGAAACTGAACCGAAGAGCATTAAAAGACCAGTCATATTAGGGACCAGGACAGACTGAACTGAACTTATTCATCTCTAATAATATTGTGTTCATTGATCTTATAAAAAATAATTTACATTTGATTAGTGAATATTTATAAAATCTTAAAATTATTCAAAAAGTAAATATAATGCAAAAATACTTTAATTCCAGTTATATTATTTCTCTTGTTACAGATTGGTTTAGTCAAATCTTCATAAGAATTGCACTTTTAAAATATTTAAAATATAGTCACAATTCTAATATACTTCTAAGTATTTTTTATCTTTTATTTTAATTATAGGTTCATTATATTTTTTTAAATAGTTGCAAGCTTATCTACATACAATATTATCTATTCTTCTTTTTATTATACAATTATCTATTTGATTAAACAAAAAGGTTAAAATTAATGTTCAACCTTAATAAATTAATTTGTTACTTAAACTAATTCATCATAGTTAGCTTCAAGTTTCAGACACTATCAAAACAAAATTTAGTCTTTGTAAGGATTTCAAATATTTAACATTAATAGATTTAATAAATAATTTAGTTTCACTTGTTCTTAATATATATACAATCTTCTTTCGAGCAGACAAATGACAGAAGTATAAAGAATTAATAATACAGATTTAGATACTTTTCTTATATTTTAATTGTTACAATTACAATAAAACATCACTAATGTTTTTATCTAATATTTTATATTAAAAAAATACTAATCATCCTATTTAGAAATTTTAAAAATGCATTTGTCAAAATTTTCTGATGCTTTTATTGAAATATTTCATAGTATTTTAAGACAAACCATTCAGAAACACAATATTGCAAAACAATTACAATATTTAGCACATTTTATTTATTCTTTGAAACATAAAAAATGTCTTAATAAATTAATTAAACATTAATTAACATTGAAAAGATATCCTTTAAATCACAAAGACTTAAGTAATTATATACAAAAAGTAACATGTTTTTTATTAAACCATTTTATTAATATTTATAATCAAATTGCTATAGATGATATAATAAATTTAAACTCAAACAAACCAAAAACATCAACAAAAAGAAAAAAAAAATTGTAAACAATTCTAATATATCAATGTTAACTATTAAAATTGTTACAAATACTTGTCATCTTTTTTTGAATTTTAATACTTTACAAAACCTAATTAATTTATTTTTTATAATTATTTACTTTGTACTAAAACTAATATGCATATATATACAGTCATACCTCTTTATAATCACACATTTGAAACCATATGAACTTTTTTTAAAAAACATTCTTGTAAAGAGATGTGCTTATATAAAAGTCTTTTGTTATATATTAGATAGTAATTAGGCGTAAATATAAGTGTGATTATAAAGAAGTTTTTATATGATGTGATTATATAAGAGGTGATTATAGAAAAGTATAACTGTACTAATCTATTATCTCCTAACTTACAAATATTATCTTGCAATCATAAATATTATATGAAATGTTTAAACAAAAATAACTAAAAATATTTGCCTTGCTTAAAATTCTTGAATAAAATCCAAATAAATATAAATCAATTGTTAAAACATTTTACTAATATAAAAAAAAAAACTGCAAAAGTTTTAAAAAAAAAACAAGCACAAAAAAGTAGTAATAATACTGAAAATAATAACATTAACATAAAGAAAAAGGAACTGGTTGTTAGTATTAAAAATATTGAACTTAATAATTTGTTACAAAAATTAAAAAAAATGCAATAAAAAATTTTTTGATCACGATAATGTGACCAATCATGATGTTTGATTTAATTTCATGTGATCGACCAATTAGGAGAAAGGTATCCTATAGATTCGACCCGTATTAAAAACTTTACATGTGACAAATCGGGCGCTTGATATGTACTATTGTTATTTAAATAAAAAACTTAGCATAAGATCAGATAGTCTTTTTGAAAGGCAGATTGTTAACGTTAAAATAGTTGTATCTGTTTTCCTAGTAATATAAAAACCTAGTTTTTATGTTTTTAATTTGAAACTTAATGGTTTTATAAACTATACTAACTTTACTATCCCTACTCATCAGAGAATAAGAATTTTAAATGGTGTTCACGAGAATCGAATATTAATTTCCTTCGCGGGGGTTTTTCGTCACCGAGATGAGACTTTCTTATCAATTTGAACAATCCAGTCCCAAGCTGCATAGGCATTCCCATGATAATAGATTCGCTCACGCCTTCAAGACAATCACGTTTGCTATGTAAGGCAGCATCGAAAAGATGATCCGTCGTCTTTTCAAACGAAGCTAACATCAAAACGCTACTTTTCATGTTAGAAATACCAAACCGATGAATCCCCAATACTTCTCCCTAAAATTTGGGTAAAGAAATAGATGTTATTTCTTGTGCATTGTTAATATTATGAATATCACACAAATACTTCCCTTATATGTCATAATATCTCCAAGCAACATTACATGACGTGGATCAATGCTCATTCCATGTCGACCCATGGTATATTGGATTTCTTGAATAATCGTATTTCTATTACATTAATATATAATAATTTATAAACCAATAACGATATAAAATATTGACAATTTTGAAGTATATAGTTAGTATGTGATCTGCATACCTAGCTGCTTCTATTCCCAAAACTTTATTTACTTCATTGACGTTATTGCTAGTTGTTTCTGTACCAAATATACCTGTGGTGTTTATTAAATAAATTAATAATTAATTCTCTATATTTGGTGAGATTTATTCAAGATTTACTTTTACCTTCAGTCGTCATTACTTCTCGAAGGCCGTAACCTTCAACAAGTAATTGCTTTTTTCCTGCCTTGGCTTCACTTATGACCGCTCTTGTCACCGTTTGAATACCCTGTAACATCATATTAAATTATGAAAACAATATCAAAAGTTAGAGAATCAAGTCGCAATCACAATTACCTTGATTATAACTTTTGGCAATGCCCGTTTCAAGACTTGCAAACGAAAATATAGTTTATCTAGTTCCTGTCTCCTTGAACCATCTCGTTCTGGGACATATGCATCAATTTCGTCATTATCTACTATTCGAATCCCTTGCTGAAGATAATTTTAAAGATTCAATATAGATGGAAATAAAAATCTTGGCAATATGAACAATATATCAGCATCATAATTACAATTTCCAACTTTAACTTTCGGTCATTGACAATGGCTCGCGCTATTTCCTTAATATTTGTTTCCAACTAAATATTACATAAATATACAGAAATATATTGATACTTTATTTTTTTTTTCTATGATTCAAATCAATGAGCTTAAAAGATTTATCGAACCTGAAGTTTTTGTATGGCGTCTAAATCTAACTTAATAGCAAGGTAACAGGAATCTCGTTCATAGATCTCATCAATGTATTTTGCAATCTAAGTGTTTTTTTATAAAATAACGATAATAATAAGTATTTAATAGAAGCCCATGAGGTTAAATATGAAAACTTACATCTCCTAAATAGGTTGTTTCTAATCGTCCTTTAACGATTCTAGCAGATTTCACATCAGAATCATTGACCAGTTTGCAAGTAATAATTGGTGTACTGATCGTTTTCGAAGCATTTATGATTTCCTTTATACGTGGAACACCGAGAGTTATATTCATGGACGCAACACCGGCAAAATGGAAAGTTTTTAGTGTCATTTGAGTGCCGGGCTCGCCTATAGATTGAGCGCCCAATGCACCAACAGCAGTCCCTACAATGAATTATTACTAAGGTTAATACCTATGCAAATTTTATTAAAGATTAAATGAAGTAAAATGCACCTGGTTCAATTTTTGCTTTAACGAATTTTTGTAAGCAAATATTCAAAAATTTTCGAAGTTGACGTTCAGTAATTTTAAGTTTATGATCCACGATTGCCTTTACAGAATCTTCAACAAAAGTGGTTAAAAGATTAGTAAGCGATATTTATTAGCAGTTTTAAGAGCAGTTTAATATACCTGATCCTATGGCATTAGGATCTATATCACTATATTCATCGTTAGGTCTTTCGTCAGCACTTATCAAGCCATAGGATTGGCGTAACGAAACAAGTTTTTCAACTAATTCCTGACTAATAAATTTTTGCAAAGATTCTATATATGATTGCGTGCAAGACTTGCGAAACTCATCGCAATCTAATATAAGATCTGTAATTTCTTTTATCTCGTATGGTAAAAGACCAGGGTCATTGGCCCATGGCACAATATTCTAGAGTATGGCATTTTAAAAGTATGTTCAGTTTAAATGTTACTACGATACAATATTGATAAAGTACTATTACATACAATTGTGTGCTGCAAATTACGTTTAAGATCAACCGGGAGAACTTCATCCTCTAAATATGCGGGATCCAGTCCATCGTCACCATAACAAAATTGAACGAGTCCGCCTGAAGAATTTCTCACCGACATGTCGTAATGTATAGCAAGATCTTCTAAAGCCTAATGAACATATATTAATGTTAGAAATAGAACTACAAACCATTTAAAAAATATATAGTTTTAAATATATATATATATACTTTCATCAACTTCCTTTGCATATAGCCAGTTTCCGCAGTCTTGACAGCAGTGTCTACAAGACCTTCTCTGCCAGATATAGCATGGAAAAGAAATTCAGTAGGTGTTAATCCGCTATAAAAACTATTTCTGACAAATCCACGAGCAGCCGGAGTTTTAGCTAAAATAAGTAATGAGAATATATTTTTATTATTAAAAATTAAAAAAAGTTACGGCTCGATTGAAACCTACAATGCTTCGGAAAATGTGGTAAAGAACGATCTTGAAATCCATCTGGAATTCGACTTCCACTAATAATCTGTTGACCAACGCAAGCAACCATCTGAGACACATTAATTTTCGAACCTAAAAAATGCAAACAGTCAGCAAGAAGAATATCATATATTTAAATTGCAAACAAACGCACCTTTGGAGCCACATGTTGCCATGATTAAAGGAGCATTATGTCTATTTAATTCAGTCATGCAAATTTGACCGGCATCGTCACGGACTCTTGACAATATGCCAGATATATGTGCCTATTAATCGGGAATACGACATATAATTAAATGTCTTGACACACTTAAACAACAAAAATGAATCGACGACCCACTTCTAACGTTTGTTCCTCATTACAGCCAGGTTGATTCTCGAGTTTTCCTGATTTAGATCGTTCAATAAGATCATCACATGCCTTGTTTGCATCTGTAATGAGTTTATCTTTTTTTTCCCGTAATATTTCTCCAGGTTGCACATCACTAATTCCAATAGAAAAACCTCTATTTGCTTTGAGCAAAAAAGATATATGTTTATTTAATATAAATTTAAAATTTTTAAGACGAGTAAATATTTACCCAACCATCGGGAACACAGTTTAGACAACCGGTTCATTGCATCAGCGGCTTGTACAGCACCATAATCGCGAAGAATAGTATAGAATAACGAATGCTTATTCCCATCACCCACTAAAGATTTGTCTATAGCACCACACATGATCTCACTATTTTGAATAACAACATAACCATCATTTGGACACATCTCTGGTGCTCTGCTCTCACTTTTTTCGAACGACCGTCCTTTGCTTTCGAGGTTAACCAAAACTGATGAACTCTTATTTGGACGCATTAGCACATTAAAAATTTGTTTACCAGTCCAAAGTCTCACTGGCTTATATATTGCCGGAGGAGGAATATCGATATGTAAATCAGCATCCGCCATATATGAACAAATTTGCGTAAACTGAGCACGATTATAAAATACATCTTTCTTTGTAATCAGATACGAAGAAGTTATAAAGTCCTGAATGGCAGCAATGATTGGATCTCCATTCCTGGGTGTAACCAAGTTGTTCTTAACACCCATTAACTCTATGGCTTCAACACGCGCCTCTTCTGTTTGAGGGACATGAAGATTCATTTCATCACCATCAAAATCAGCGTTATAAGGCGTGCATACACATTCGTTAAAACGAAATGTTCGCCACGGCTTAACACGAACCTAAATTTATAAAATGAGTAGTCAGTCCAAAAAAAAAAAGGACAAATGATTTATAAAATAAAAGTTTATTACGTAATGTGCCATTATACTAAGTTTATGAAGAGAAGGTTGACGGTTAAATAAGACCACATCACCATCCCTCAAATGACGCTCTACTACATCACCAATCTGTAGTTCGGCAGCGCACGCGTCTTTTGCTGATTGATCTGCGTATTTGAGGTATCTAATACAAAATTAATTGTAAGATTCGATGAATTATATTTGGAATGAATACAATTGAGGTCCTGTTACCTTTTCCCTCCGGATATGTTTTTAACAAAATTGGCGCCGGGATGTACATTTGAACCATTTATTATGCATTTGCGTAACTTCTCTATATTATGTGCAAATACCCTTTCTGGATATGTTAAGACCTTTGCAACTAATTCAGGCACGGCAACCTAAAATACCGAATAAAGAATTAATTTGCATAAACAATTGTATGGCTCTTGTTCCGATACAGAAATTCAATGAAACATGCCTCATCAATTCGTAAATTGGGATCAGGCGATATCACTGTTCTGCCTGAAAAGTCAACGCGTTTACCAGATAAATTTCCGCGAAATCTTCCTTGTTTTCCTTTTAATCGCTGACACAAACCCCTACTCGGTTTTGTACCCTAAATGCGACATAGCATATGGGAACTCAAATTAATTGATAAATCAAACTAACAGAACGACATCGTGAATTACCGCCATATTTCCAAGTCCTGGCATTTCGCTATTAATGTACATTGCAACCGTTAACTGCAAATAATCCCACTGCTCCTGTTTATAACGAAGTCAAAGCCAAAAGATTTTTACGTAAAAAAAATTTTAAATATGCATTATTTGTATATTCATTCTTTATTACGTACCATCAGCTGTGAGATAGTGATTCCTTTACTCAAGGCTGCAGCAATATTAGTGTTCGTTTGGACAATTTCAGATAATTTCACAGTTAAATCATCTTCTGTACTATAAATATTGAAATAATAAGGAATCTACTTAATTATTACAATAGTAAGAGAATTTAAAATTCCAAGTAAACATTGGATGTTGAGAGTAGTAGTACAGTTACATAATAATATTTAAAAAACATTGCGTATTAAAAACGATATTAACCTTGCGTTATCCTGAGCAATTGAAGGGCGAATTGCGACAGGTGGTACTGGAACTCGTTGCCATATAAAAAGTTCTGGCCTCGCATTTTGTGGATCCAATCCAAGTAGTTCACAATCCTACGTATCATAGAATTACATACTATAATCAAAATTGAAGCTGCATTGCATTGAATTAATTATCACACCTCATCAGATATTTTTTTAAATAACTCGAGTACTTTCATCGCATTCAAATCTTCTTGTGCCTTATGTATATGAGGCTTCAATTCCGGCATGGACTCTACAGCATTAACGAAAGTGTTTTTAAAATTTTCTTGTTCTTCATGCGCTTTCTTTGGTTTAAATTTTTCGTGAACAATCTTAATTGCGCCAACTTTTTTTACGGGTCCGTTAATTGCATTACAATACGGACAGTCCACAATTTTTTTACATAATGCATTTATAGATTTTTCTATTTTCCCGCGTGCTGAAGACTCTTTGGTACTTCTTATTCGCTTCAGATATGTTCGTCGGTCGTCTTCTTCTAATAAGACGCGACTACATGACTAATTTATGATAATGATTAAACCCGTTTTATTCTCATTAAGCAGAAGGCGTATAGTAGTAATCTTAGAATAATTTACTTTGCAGATATTTTGCAGCATATTTATAACAGCTTTAAAATAACCAATGTGAAATACTGGTAAAACTAGTTTGATATAACCAAAATGACCAATACACTGTGCCATTCTTTCACCACATGTTTCGCAGAGTATGTCATGATCCGAAGTTCCCTGTAAAGTTTACGCGCTTTAACAACTAGCAAAATTTTTTCCAAATTACTAATGTTTGTAATAATAATTTATAAATTTAACAAACCAAGCGCGTATCTAAGACGCCATTTTCCATCGGGGCCCTGTTTTCATTGAAAAGATCGCGGTGAGTCACCACAAATTGAGAATTTTTGACGATCTCTTGGGGAGAAAGTACACTGAATTGAATATGTTTACTACCAAAAGCAAATTCATTTTAATAGTCGTATTAAATAAACTTTTTTTTATGCTTTATTTTGTCATTTAAATCTTACATTTTTCGAGGAGCCGTTTCGAGAACCTGTTCTTTCATGTTAAATGTGCTTTGTAATAAATTAAAATTGAATAACAAGTGAAAACAGAATATATAATATTAATATCTTGACACCAAAAATTTTTAAAGTCACGTGATAGTTATAATCACGTTTTAATCCCGATTTTAATAATAGTGTTGTCTATAATAAATTTTGAGCCAATGATTATTTTAACTCAAGTATTATAATTTAGAATTAAAGCTACAGTTTATATAGAACAAAAGAAAATTTTGTTACTTTGGCATAATCTGAAAATTTAACTTTGCTAAAAATAACTAATTGCTAATTTTAAGTAATTAATTATTATATGTAAAATTATGCAATAAATATTTTTTTCTTTTTGGCAGTTGTTTTTATTGAAACTAATCATATAATATATTAAAAAGTATAAACTATAGATATGATTAGTCTAATAAAAAATTTAATTAATATAATACATAGTTCAAATACAACCTGTTATCTAAAAAAGATTGATGATCTCTTTTTCTTAATCACTTGCATTTAGGATTGAAAGTAATTTAGAAAAAACAAAATTAACTTATTTAAAAATTTCTTTTTTTTCAAAAAAAGTACCAGAACAGAGATACCTTTTTTGTTTCTAAGAAACATAGAACTTCTACTATTGAAGTCTACAAACATAAGAAAATTAAGTTTATTAATTATTCCTATATAAAAAAACCTATTATACACAACAAAAAAAATTCTTATTCTAAAGAAAAAACTATTATTATAGGTAAAAGCCTTCTTAATTTTTACACTATAATGACAACACAGCATAGGGAATTCTTTACAGATATATGCAGTGTCCAAGAGGGAAGTATAGCTTCTATTAGACATTATTAAGAAACTATATTTTTCTTTGAGGCAGTTCAGAAAAGGTAATGCAATACTAATAACTTTACTTTATTTCACTAAGAGGAAATAAACCTTGCCTGTAGGAATTACCCTAAAGGGGAAGTATCAATACAGTTTATAGTCAAAAGTTATTTATTAAAGTAATAACAAGAAAGGTTATCCTTAGGTTTCTGTTCCTAAAGAATTTCAAGATGTGTTTACAATATTAAAGAAAAAAGAAGTGTCTGTTGTTTAATTGCATTTAGGGAATTTAGCTGGATTTATATATCTGTGAGCTAAGTGGCTAAGTGGCCAAGTGACTAAGCAATTAAGCAACTAAGTGACTAAGTATTAAGTGACTAAGTAACTAAGCAACTAAGCAACTAAGCGATTAAGCAACTAAGCAACTAAGCAACTAAATGATTACTAAGTACTAGAAGGTTCTAGCAACTAATAACTAATAATTACTAAGTAACTAATTACTAAGTGACTAAATGACTAAGCAACCAAGTGGCTAAGCGACTAAGTGATTACTAATTAATCAGAAAGTTCTAACAACTACTAGTAATAATAATAATATAATAATTAAATAACTAATGCTAAATAATAATTATAATATAATAATAAAAATAATAACTAATAATAATAATAATAAAATAATAATTTATTTTATAACATTTCTGTTCTCTTTTAAAAATTTACTCTATAAATTCTATATTCTAATCGATTCAAGAAGTTAGGTGTACTTATCATTAAGCAACTTGATAATATGTGTTACAGTTACATATTTCAACTGCAGAGTTATATCTTTTAATTGCAACTCGAGGACTTTATATATTCTGAGAGCATCTTTCCAAGTGTCTTTTGCTCTTCTTGTTACTTGAGCATTCTGGATAAGGTTTTTAATCTCTGAAGAATTATTGGACTTCAAGATTATTTGTTCTAGATAATAGTAAGCTTCAATTTTCTTATTGAGATTATGTCAAGTACATCCAGGATTGGATAAGAACTTTAAGATTTGATTAACTTGTTCTTTCTATGTTCTTTCAGAAAAAGGATTGGTTATGTTTTGAGTTGTTGGTTCTAATATTTGTTTTAAATCATTTATTATTTGAGTTATATAGTTAGTATTATTACTTTCTAACTCTGTAGGTACTTCCTTAGGTGGAGTTTTGATTAGAGAAGGTTGTATTTCTTCTAATTATAGAAATTCATCAATATTGAATTCTATAGGAGCTTCTATTATAGAGTTTAAGTTGATAACTTTTTCTGGTTCTTTATCACTTCAAAGAATAATATTTTAAGGTAATATATTTAAGTGGTTTTGAGATGCAAGATCCTGTTTCCAAATTTAGAAAAAGTTATTTAAAGTGATTATTCTGTTTCTGATTGTAATTTTAAGAATTCTATTTTTAAAAAAATTTGTATGATTCAAGAGTGTTTATATAAATTTTTTTTTTTTTTTTAATGTTAAGGCAAGTAATTGCGACCCAGAAGTTTATTGATAATCAGTCGGCATATAACTATTGTGTACAACAGCTACAGAGGCAATCATGAAAAGAGTGTACAACTAGCCACTTGTACAACTTTAGTCATTGTCTATTTTAAGTAGTTCGCCTAAAGATTCTATACTAGTTGTCATATCTAGAACCCACCTATGAGTTCTTTATTTAAAGACTCTAGTTCTCATATCCACTCCTACTCTATTAACTGCAGCTATTGCTGCAAATATACCATGGTCACTAAGTTATATTTAACTTTATACTAAGCTCACCAGAGCCTTCTGTATCCTATACTTATAGCTAACCCAATACTGCTCTGGTTTAGACCATCACTTGCAGTTAAAGCTAACCATTAAACTGCTATACCCTTGTAAAGTTCACAAGAACCCCAATACCTTTCTTTTCTAACTACTTCTGAACTTACAAGATCTACAAGACTTCACAAACTACCAATCCAGATGGCCTATCTAGTGAACTTGGTAGCCTAGTTAGTATATGCTCCTCTATACATGTTGTCGTTCAATCTATCTGAGGTCCTAGTAATCCTTTTTTGGAGCCTTTCGATGGTTCAGTAGTACTGTTAAAAGTCTATACTACTTCTTTACTCAGGATTTTCAAGTGGGTTTTCAACTTTTCAGTTTTTTTGCTTTCTGTGCTTAGTGGTCTTATCATTGGTTTGCACCAAAGTCTTATGCAACACTGATTATTAACATTCCTCTATGTGGATGTAATATTACACTTTGCATAGATGCTCCAAGCTTCTATTCAAGATGGTGCAACAAAGGTTACAGATATACTAATCCAACCAATTGACAGAGACAGTTACTGTAACACAGACCTTATTTTCCAAAATTCATCGTTTATGGGATTTAAACTCTAGACTGCTACTTGGAAGTTGACAACCTGACCACTTTACTAGGTTAACACACTTCATATTTAAAATTATTATTATTATTATTATTTCTTATTATTATTATTATTCTTTTATATTTTACCTTCTTCTTCTTGCTTCTTCTTTGGACAATCTCTTTTTGAAATTTCTTGTTTTATATTTATACACCATTTTTCTTATTATTTTATTTTTTTTCTTCCTTCAATTATAATTTTATTATACTTAAATATTTTTATTATTACTTTTTATATTATACTAAACCTTATTTACAAATCACATGAAACTTTGAAATACTATTGGACAATCACTTAATAACAGTTGATCTTCAAAAACTGTACAATAAACAAATTTAGTATGATATACTATTATAGTAAAATGGATAAGGCAAGCATATAGCTGTTGCATAGTCATATGTTCAAATCCAGCTGATGGACATGTTAACTCTGTCTGACAAGGTTTATAATAACAGCACTAGCCTATAGTAGTATAACTCAGTATTTTGAACTTTTAAACTATAAATATATCACTCTATTACAATAGTTTAAAATTAGAATTATAGAAATAATTATCAA